CCGATTCCCCAACGCTGTTCCCCTCCCCGAATTCCTCAATAAAATCTTTTTTTTAAAAAGTATCAGTAAAATTTTTGTATCATTACATTAGAATCCATCGGTCTACCTTGCACTCTCAAATAACCATTTACCTGTGCAAAGATTTTTAGACATCACTGATTTATAAAATATTGCTTCACTGAGTTACACAGATCTTCTAAATGCTGATATATATACTGAAGAATCACAATGATTAATATCACCATAGAGTTCAAGAGTCTATGAAGTACTGGCAACATGTGACCCTCATGGGAGGCAAATCTAAGTTTTCCAAGATTGTAATTTTCATTTGCAAGCTCAAATTTTAGTACTGGCAATACCATCAGTTGTTTTCCTTGAAGTGATAGAATCATTGTGTCCATTTTTGAGAAAATGTCTGCCAGAAAACCATAGCTTGTCTATTCTTTCAGTAAAAATGATGTCCCATGAAAAAAGCAGCTAGTTCAGCTCACAAATCAAAGATGTTTCCCTCCAAAGAACTATTGTAGTTTAGTGTGCATCACACATGCTTCATGCATACATCCCACTCACTCCCACGTGATGTTAAAAGGATGTGTGCTCAAGGGTTGAGATTTAGTAAAATTAGTATCTTTTTTGGGCATCAGGGATAATCTTAAATGAAAAAGTGCCTTTCCTGCCACGAGCACGTGGTGATGAAGACCACTGGCCTTAGTACACTTCGGTATCACTGTCTGAGGCTGCCAGGTGCGAGCAGGTTCACCCACCATCATCACTGCAAATTTAACACAGGGGGAAAGCCAATCGCGTCTCACTAGCATTAGGAAGCTTTTTTGACCTGGGAGCGCTGGAAAGGGTACCTGGGAGCTTCAGGGAGTCAGGTCCACACTTCAAAACAAACAAACAAACGCTGCCTCACACTGGTCCATGGCCCATCTTTTAGAACCAAAATGTCTTCTTGTCTTTGTTTTCCCAAGAGACAGAGCATGAGTGGAAGCTGACCAAACGGAGGCAGGGTACCGGACTACAGTTTTGTTAGTGAATGGACGGTTTTCTTGTTCTGCATCTTTCCATTTCTTGACACTGAGACAAACTGCTTGCCCAGCCGCTCAGGGCACTGCATTTAGATAAGCAGCTTTCTGGTATCGCCCAGGATAGTCAGTTTACAGCACAGCCGATTAGGTTTCAGCTTTAGTTACACTCCACACCTAACATGAGTGTTCCCAAGGCCCTCAGCACACACTACACATCTGTTTGTGGCACAATCACAATAATTTATTCCGATCTGCTGTCACATGGCTCTGGGGACATTGCAGAATCTTTACAGGGAATCAGTACTCTAATTCTCTCAGGACCATTCCAAGTCTTCACCTGAAGATTATAAAATTATTGCCCTGTGTTTTTTTCCAGTATGTTTGTGTTTAGCTTTTTAATATGTTTATGTTTAAATCCCCTCTGGCTTCTATTTTGGTGTAGGTTGTCGTGTTTGCTTATAACAGTTGTTACAACAGTGCTAACCTCATATTTTGACTAATTCATTCTTTTCCCTTGGATTTTAGATGCCACTCTCATAAGACAACACAAAATGCACAGTCCATGGGTTTCTGGACTCACCATTTTGCTCAATGAGCCACTCATTTCTGCACTAGTGACACACTATTACTGTCGCTTTGCAGTATGTTTTGGTACCTGCTAGAAAAATCCCTCAGCGTTAGTTTCTATTACTGCTATCACAAATGACCACCATTTAGTAGCTTAAATACTATAACTTAGTAGCTTACAGTTCTGGAGGTCAGAAGTCCAATATGGGTCTCACTGGACCAAAGTCACAGTGCCAGCTGGGCTGGTTCCTTGTGGGGCTCTGGGGGGCGGGGAGGGGGGGGAGGTCCATATCCTTGTCCTTTCCAGCTTCTGGAACCTGCCATCCTTCCTCGACTCCTGCCCCTTCCTCCATCTCTAAAGCCCACACACAGGAGTCGAGCCCTCCTCACACTGGACTTCTGAGCGCCTTCTCTGCCCCCTTCCAGTTGTAAAGCCCCTGGCGATTGCACTGGGTCCACCTGGGTAACCCAGGCTTCTCTGCAGGTCACCCGGCTGGCAATCCTAACTTCACTTGTGCCGTAAATGCTCCATTACCATGGAAATGAGTGTATTCACAGATTCCAGACTTATGTGGACATCGTGAGGGGCCATCAATCATTCCACCAGCCCCACTCAGTATTCCTCCTTCGCAAAAACATTGTTTTCCTACATAAATTTTAGAATATATTTGTTGAGGTTCCACTTTACTCTGCTATCCTCGTCCTTCACACCTCTCCCTGCAAAATAAAAAATAAAAATCCCTAGATTTTTACTGAGTATGTGTTAAAGTCATAGCATGAGGCTGAGTATTTCATACATCCCAACAATGATAAAAACCAAATTTCCAATTATCATTCTAGAGGAAACAATTACTATTCTTTCTATACATGGAAACTATTACATGGTTTTCATAAGCAAAGGTATACTCTGTTGCAGATATGTTAGTTATATGTTACTTTTCTGGTTATGTCAGCTTTTCAAGTCTTATTTTTAAAGAGCTTTCTCATTCTAAATAAATATCCATGTTCAAATCTAATTTTGTATTTGTAAATTTGTGTCTTTTTTAAAGGGCTCCCCACTCCACCAGCAGAATCAGCTCCATGCCCTACAGAACCTGTTTCCACCCCGTCGATAGATGAAACCAAATTCTACCCAGTTACTCAAGCCTGAAACTTGGAAAGCGTTCTTCACTCCCTCCTCCTCCTCTGTCAGCTGTCACCACCAGTCAATTTACTCCTGCAGATCACACCCTTTAGCTGTCATTGAAAGAGATCACCTTTTTCTTTATTCATCTTTAATTGCCTGTGTAGTCAGTAAATCCCACTCCCCACCACAGACCCAGGGTGATAACCTCAGGGCCTGTATCTGTGCTACGTGGGTGGGGTGCACAACAGGCACTGACTACATCTTTGTTGAATATTTCATTGTAAAACCTGGAAACGATATAGAAAGTCCAGTTGACCTTCATCTAATCTTACCTCCTCTCCCCATAATCGCTGTCATCAGTAGTTTCTAGACATTTCATTTTTACGGAAATGGGATAACAGTGCATGTAGTATCCAGCAACTTTTTTTCATCCGTTTTTGAGATCTGTGACAATACATTGGGATCTACTTGTTTCTTTTTAGCTGCTGCATAGCATTTAGTGTGTCATCTTTGTGTATTTATGTAACCATTCTGCTACTGAGGTTCATTTAAGGAGAATTACTGATCCAAAGGGCATCTGTTCATTTTTAGTTAGAACTGCCAAACTTTCCCCCCAAAGGGCTATACATGAATTCACTTCTGCTCTCCATACACGGTCACTATCAAAGTCTAAGCCACCACTATCTCTAGCAAGTCTCCAAGCTGCTTCCAGTCCATTCTCCACACTGACTCTAGAACCTGTTTTTTTTTTACTCAAATTTAATCACGTCACTTCCCTCCTGAAAACCTTTTAGTAGCTTCCCAGGACCTTTGGATAATGTCTAGTAATTTCCATGTCCCTGAAGACCCTGCTGTCATCTGGTTCTTGCCGGTTTCCTTTCCCGGCTCAACCCCCATCACCTTTGTCTCCTCCCTGTCCCACTTACTTTCTCGCCCATAATTTTCAAATTGTACCATGGGTATCACTGAAAATAAGAAAGGATGTGGGGGCCGGCCGAGTGGTGCATTGCTTAGTTGGCTTGGGA